CATTTTAAGTTCTCTTCCTTGAGTGGCTCTTGTATTAAGTGAATTTTAATATTAAAAAAAACTAACCTTGCTGATTATTTGGGGATGAAACTATTGCAAACGCCCATCAGTACAGATGCAAAAGAGGCCCCTGGATCACATGTGGACATATTTGTCTACACCAGTTACAGTTTCCCTGTGAGCACTAGAACAGCTTGGTATATCTAAATACAGGCCTCTCTGCACTGAGTCTTTATAAGATGCTGCATGTTAATAAAAAGCAATGAGAAAACCAGCACTCAGCATGGTTTCATGTGAAGTTGGACCCTTACGCATCTTGTTCCTAGAGTTGTTTTTTTTTTTTTTTCCTGTCTCTTTCCCCTCTCTGACGATTACCCCCACAGTTACTGGGAGAGCTATCAGGTGTTTCCCCTAATCTCAACACACTCTTTGCTTATAACACAGACATTTGTTTTTCATTTTTGCAGCTACAAGCAAATTATTGAAAGTTTGAACAATTCGTTATGAAGAAGTCCTCCTTAAAATATGTTACATTTTTGTCGTTTTATAATCGCAATATTATTTTTAACTATATTTTCTCTCTTACTTTTTATTTGTAATTTGAACAAAGAATATTTTAAAAATTTCATTTAACTACAATTGAAATCGTCAATGATTTTAAATCTAATTTGTAATAGATTCCTGTCGTGGGGTTGATTATTACAGGAAAAAAATGGATTTTTTTCAAAGAAGGCAATCAAACTGTCTCCCACTTGGGAAAATTTTATTTTTCCGATTGAATTTGGCCTTATGCCAAATTAAACTAAAAATAATTTAAGGTCAGCTGGAAAATTCCATAAAGAAGTTTTGAGTATGAAAACCTTCATGTTATTATATTTTAGCTTTAACTCCAACATCCAGATCTTGTTTATTGATGGATATTGGGCTCTTTGTTTTACTTAACTTACATGATTTCATAGAAATGCATTTCAATTTTTTATTTTAGAAAAGTTTCTAAAGCACTTTCTTTCTTTTTTCTTTACAAACATAAAGTTAGAAAAAGCATTATACATTATCAGACATTCATGTCTTGTAAGTGTTGTCCGGTAAATAAAAACGGATTTCTTCCCCCTCTCCAACCTTTTTTGTCTCTATTTGCCTTTTTAAATAAAAATACAGAATAGAGAATAAATCCTCGAAGCACAATTGAAATGGATTTATTTTTCTAAATCTACAAAAGGGAGACAACAAAAGCCAACCTGATTTTGTGATTCATTTCCTTTTCAAATACAATGAAAAGATGTCGAAATGAGAAATCAATATTTGTTTCCCATATTTCAAATAAATCTTATTTGAAATGTTGACGATGTTAAATTGTCTATATTTATTCAAAACTGGATGATACTCTGGTTTAAAACATAGCAAATATAAGCTATTTAAATTTATAATTATCAAATTATATATATTTCAGAACTTTTAAAAAAAAGTGTTTTATTTTTAGAATTTCCTTGAAATTGCAACCTTGATGTTTAAAAAAATGAAATCAACGGGAAACCAAATCTATTGCATTTTATTTTTTACTAATGTAGAAAAATTGATGTTTAAGCAAAATAAATAAATTAATTTAACTATGGTTTCTTAATGCACGTACAATTCTTGAATGCAAATTTATAAATTTTATTAAATCGTTGCAACGTTTTCCATTGTTTTTTCTAAAGAGCTTGAGAACTAAAAGCCGATAAGCAACTCACTAACTAGCAATACTTTTTAGTTAGATGATAATTGATATCTTTGTTTAAAAGTTTTTAGAACAAAGGACAAAGGTATTTTTTAATACGATGGCGTTGTCAATAATGACTCCACAGTTTCCGTTTTTTCCTGTATTATCTAAGAATTGCCATGCGTTCTTAGGAAAGATAGTGGAGTAATTTCCATATCTCTTTTTGGGACAGACATGGTCATGTCTCTCCACAGATTCCTTTTCTTTTATTATCTGTGAATTGCTATACCTTGGGAAAGATAGTTGAATGGTTTCTATATATCTCTACGGGACTTACATAATCATGAATCTCCACATATTCCTTTTCTTTGTTATCTGTGAATTACCATGAATTCTTAGGACAGATTGGAATGGTTTTATGTTGGCTTCGCTCGTCTTCTGTAATTTAAGAGTTTTCCTTCTCTTCGACTGATTTCTTTTATCAATTCACCCCAAGAAAAGGCGTAATAATACCACTAAGGTGCTCGGGGCTACGCTGGGAGGGAAAGAGAATAAGGAGACTTTTAGAAGGAACCGGAAACCTAGTCCTAAACAGGAAACAAAGGAAACCTCAACTCCTGCTCAAAAAATCAGAGAGGAGTGTAAACTGGATGGCAGGCGAACCTAACTACTCCTACTGAAAAAAAAACAAAACAATGTAACCCGGATATAAGAGAGTTGTCGGGACCGGAGAAGTTTCTTATATCTGGGTTTCTCTTATATCCGGGTTTGGTCTATTTTGTTTAGGTAACACAGGCTCTAATTTGGGACCAGAGAAAATCTCTATTATATCCGGGTTTCTCTTATATCCGGGTCTCTTATATCCGGGTTACACTGTAAATAAAATTTCAGATTTTAGGCGGACATGTTAGAACTATAGAGTTGAAGTAGACTTTTATGGAACTGAGAACCCAATCCTAAACCTGGAAACAAAGGATAAACATCTACTCCTGTGGGAGGAGTGTGAACCGGAGGGTATGCAAACTTATCCACCCAAGACTAGAGAGTTCAATCTACCCAGCTTTTTCACACTCAAGGAATAAAATGGTTCATGCCTTTCATTGGTGCAAAAGTTATTATTTGCTATAATGATATTTGTTAGACCACCTGCACATCTTAAAACTCATGTCTTATAACAAAAAATGTAGAATAAAAAAATGATTTATTTGGTAATTTTTGTCTGAATTTCTGGAATTAAAATTTATTATTGACATTATTTACATATTGTCTTCATCTTTGTTGTTATTAACACAATGATTCAATCATTTTGCCTTCTGGCCTCCATCAAGTGATTGCTAATCTGGATTAGCTTCAGAGATTTTCAAACTAAACACTTTATTTCATCTACAGGGTAGATTGCTCACATTCCACTGACCATGCCTCATCAAACTCATAACCTACGCCACCAAGCTATTGTTCCATGGAAATGAGGAAAAAAATAACTGTCTTATTAAATACACCATGTCCCTTCAAGACGTGAGCAATCATGGCTCTCCACAACTTCCTTTCCTTTGTAAGTAAATTTTGTCTTTTCATTATCTCTGTTCTGCCAACCATTTGCACAAGTTTGTTAGGTTGTTTATATGTTGCTTTTCTCCCTCCCTCAATATGTTTTCAATATGTCCTGTGAATGTCAAATTTTCTAAGCCTTCATTATGTGCTCTAGAAATTTCAGCTATCTCTTTCTGATAATAAGTATAAATATCCTTTTTGTTTCCATTTTCTCTAAAACTTCATTGTTGCTCACATATTCAATCCATATTATTCTCAGCATCCTTCTGTTGAACCACATTTCTATTCCTTCAAGATCCTTCATCTTCTGTGAGGAGATTGTCCAGAATTTACTGCCATATAGGTGGACTGATATTACATAAAATTTCAGCACTCATTTCTTTGTTTCTAACAAGATTTTCCTCTTTCTTAATACTTTGCTTAGCTTTTGGAAGATAATTTTTGTCACATTTTCTTTCCTTTGTTAAAACACATCCCAGATATTTACATTTTTGTTCTTGCTTGATTTTGGCATCTTCAGTTTGTAATTTGCATGTAATTAGCTGACAACCTTGCAATTGATAGTTAGTCCTTTCTTCTTGCTTTCCTTTACTACCTTCTTTAGGAGTTCCTGTATTTAAGCAATAACTGAGTAATACTGAAAATAAGAACTTGATGAGGTATACCTACACATGATAGAGAACAATCTACCCCTGTAGATTAAATAAAGGGTTACCGGGATCAAAAAGCACCTGATGAAGGATGGAGGGCACAAAAGCCAAAACATTATGAAAATAACAACAAAAGATCAGCACAATAGTCTGCATGCAGGTGTCCCCACCCCAGGACTCTATCCTTGGACCTACACTGTTTCTAATTTTAATCAATGACCTTTCTGATGGCATCAGTTCTTAACCTGAATCTATGCACATCTTACAACTATTTACTCCTGTCTTAATAGTAAGTCTGATCAGTCCGATAAGGTCAAGTTGTCAGCTAATCTAAAAAATGACCTACAATCTAGTGTTAACTGGGGTAAGGAATGGCTTGTTAATTTTAATGCTTCCAAAATGAAAGAGTGACCCCTTTCTGCCTTCCATCAGCATAGGAGAGTGACTCGTTGCAGCTTGGAGAAACATTTTTCATTGACATGAAGTAAAAAGACTATATCAAATCCATTACTAGGTCTGCTGCTAGGAAATTTGCTTCACTGTATTGTGCTAGACAATTTTTCGCACCAGAATCTAACTTAAAATTTGTAAGTCTACCATTTGTCCCTATTTTGCATATTGCTGCCACATCTGGTCTGGTGTTTCTGCTATACATTTAGAGATTCTTGATAAAATCCAAAGAAGGATCTGCAATGTCCTGACCTAGCATCTAATTCACTAGGCTATTGTCCTGTAGCCTAGGGATATCCCATCTAGTTCTTATTTTTAGTACTGCTGATTTATTAGGTTGGGAATAAAAGGGCTGGTTGTAAATTCATTCAAGAGTAATTTGTTTTCAGAACAAAAACGGAAAGTTAAAAGTTTTGAATAAACAGACAGGTTGAAAAAAGTGAAAAATAAAATGAAGAGTTGGTTTGGAATAACAGTGGCTAGGTTGGGAAAAAAAAAAACCCAACAAAATTTGGATAGATACCCAGATCTGTCTATTTTAGGTACAAGAGTGAATACAATTTCATGAGTTAAATAGAGAGCACTGAATGCTGTCAAAAGTTTTAAGTAAAACATGTTTCTGATATAAACCATGTAAAATATGTTCTCATTTAGTAGAAAACGGTATTCTGTAAGCTTATCCTTATAAAAGATTTCTTTTTGCGATGATCAGGAAACAAACGTGTGGATTGAATATGATGGTAAATCATGAAGCAGAAGAAGAAAAAGAAGCAGATGAAGAAAAAGAAGTAGATGAAGAAGAAGAAAAAAGGAGTAGATGAAGATAAAAAAGAAGATGAAGCAGAAGAAGAAAAAGAAGCAGATGAAGAAGTAAAAGAAGCAGATGAAGAAGAAGAAAAAGAAGATGAAACAGAAGAAGCGAAAGCAGATGAAGAAGAAGTAAAAGAAGATGAAGCAGAAGAAGAAAAAGAAGCAGATGAAGAAGTAAAAGATGAAGCCAAAGAAGAGAAAGGAGCAGATGAAGAAGAAAATGGAGATGAAGCAGAAGAAGAAAAAAGGAGCAGATGAAGAAGAAAAAGATGCAGATCTAGAAGAAAAAGATGAAGCAAAAGAAGAGAATGTAATAGATGAAGAAGAAAAAGAAGATGAAGTTTAAGAAGAGAAAAAAACAGATGCAGAAGAAAAAGATGATGCAGAATAAGACAAAGGAGCAGATGAAGAAGTAAAAGAAGATGAAACAGAAGAAGAAAAAGGAGAGATGAAGAAAAAAAAGAAGATGTAGCAGAAGAAGAAAAAGGAGAGATAAAGAAAAAAAAGAAGATGTAGCAGAAGAAGAAAAAGGAGAGATGAAGAAAAAAAAGAAGATGTAGCAGAAGAAGAAAAAGGAGAGATAAAGAAAAAAAAGAAGATGTAGCAGAAGAAGAAAAAGGAGAGATGAAGAAAAAAAAGAAGATGTAGCAGAAGAAGAAAAAGGAGAGATGAAGAAAAAAAAGAAGATGTAGCAGAAGAAGAAAAAGGAGAGATAAAGAAAAAAAAGAAGATGTAGCAGAAGAAGAAAAAGGAGAGATAAAAGAAAAAAAAAGATGTAGCAGAAGAAGAAAAAGGAGATAAAGAAAAAAAAAGAAGATGTAGCAGAAGAAGAAAAGGAGAGATAAAGAAAAAAAAGAAGATGTAGCAGAAGAAGAAAAAGGAGAGATAAAGAAAAAAAAGAAGATGTAGCAGAAGAAGAAAAAGGAGATAAAGAAAAAAAAAAGAAGATGTAGCAGAAGAAGAAAAGGAGAGATAAAAGAAAAAAAAGAAGATGTAGCAGAAGAAGAAAAAGGAGAGATGAAGAAGTAAAAAAAAGATGTAGCAGAAGAAAAAAAGGAGATAAAGAAAAAAAGAAGATGTAGCAGAAGAAGAAAAGGAGAGATAAAGAAAAAAAAGAAGATGTAGCAGAAGAAGAAAAAGGAGAGATAAAGAAAAAAAAGAAGATGTAGCAGAAGAAGAAAAAGGAGAGATGAAGAAGTAAAAGAAGATGTAGCAGAAGAAGAAAAAGGAGAGATGAAGAAGTAAAAGAAGATGTAGCAGAAGAAGAAAAAGGAGAGATAAAGAAAAAAAAGAAGATGTAGCAGAAGAAGAAAAAGGAGAGATAAAGAAAAAAAAGAAGATGTAGCAGAAGAAGAAAAAGGAGAGATAAAGAAAAAAAAGAAGATGTAGCAGAAGAAGAAAAAGGAGATAAAAGAAAAAAAAAAGAAGATGTAGCAGAAGAAGAAAAAGGAGAGATAAAGAAAAAAAAGAAGATGTAGCAGAAGAAGAAAAAGGAGCAGATGAAGAAGAAATATTAGAAATAAAAAAAGCTACCTTAATTTAATACCAAACCCATTTAACTAATTCAAACTATTTGTGGGATGTTGATAGATTTGAAAATTGTGTCTTTTAAAAATATTCTATTCATTCACAAAGAAGAAGGAAAGTAAAAGAAAAATAGTAGATAAAATGTTTATCCCCAATTTTTATATTCATGAAATTGTTGTGATGTTTCACAAAAATCTTTTATTTTTTCAGTCCAGTTTCTTATGGAGGCACTTTTGGTATGACAGGAAAACAGACAAGATACAGTCAAATTTCTTCATGACTCCTCTTACTACTTTGACTCACACTATTTATCAGCTGTTAGTTGATATGTTGTTTTTATTTACATCTACTGTACAGATATGGTAGTAAACGCAAGAATACGCACTCATAATTAACAGAAAAATACTTGGCCTTATCTTAAAGTATGTGTAGGGATACAAAAGGCGATTATTTCCCTTTTGTTGAGATAAAGACATCAGAGTCACATGAAGGTTGGTGAATGATGTCATTTTCCAATGTAAAGCCCAGAGAAGAAGGACATCCATAGCCCACAGAAGTAGGTCTTACAGGAAAAACCATGTCGTCTCACAAGATTCATAGAGAAACCACTGCAATTTCAGTTTTTCTTTCAGGAAATATTGCAAGTAAGGTTCCCTTTTTTACACACTGTTTGTTGTTGCATATATGTTATAATTTCCCTGTTTGGAACATGTGTATATATGTATATATAATTTTGTGTATGATGTAGCATTATAAAACTCTCTCTGATAACAAAGCATGTTTGTTATTCCTTTTCCATTCAGTTATTCTATTCTGTCTGTGAAACATAGTTTTATTATATCATGGATATAATAATGCCTATCATAGGGGAAGTGTAAATGGGAGGATAAACCTTTCTTGCAATAGCTCTTCTATTATATGTGTTACTTGAAGAGTATAACATTTTTAATAAACTAATAACTATACATACTTAAAACTGGAGCTTTTCAGATTAATAATTTGATATAGGTTTCAAATACTCTGTAATTTTTATCTTTCTCTGTAAATATAAGATAATTAAATTTTATTTTAAATTGGTATCCTCTGAGAAGGATGTCATATCTTATTAATAATTTTCAATAAAAAGACATTTTTATTTTATCTGAAATTGATTAATAGAATATATTCTAATAATGTGTCTGCTATAACTTGAGTCTGTCTAATTTGTTCATATTTCCAAATCTTAATTTATATAGATTTTTTAAAGTTTTTCTTCACAAACATGGCAGATTAATGAATTTTCTTTTGACTGTTGCTGAGACGGAAAAGAAAATAATCATGCTTTTATGTAATTGTTGAAAGAAACTGTGTCAGAAAAGTCTGAAGAAAAAAGAAAAGAGAAAATCATAATGAAAATTTAGCGCAGGGGCAGGCAGATCATGCCTTGAAAGTCACATCTGGTGCTCCAGGAATTAATGTGCACTTCATGGGTATATCCTACTTCAGTTATTTTTCTCAGCACAACAAAAAGTAAATGTGAAAAAACATTTAAAGATACACAATTATTTATGGTGATAGTAATATTAGGAAACATTTGGCATTCATTGACTGAGCATCCAGTGCTACTTTTGGTAGAGATTTATAAAATCTTTCTCTTACAACAGATTTTCTGGAAAATAGGATTCTCAAGTCCAGTAACTGTTACTGCTCTTGTCAGTATTGATAGGGATAGTGTGGAATGTCTACATATTGATTATATCATTATTTTCTCTTCAAGTTTCATGTGATATCCATTTTAGTTGTTTTTGCTGTTGTGATTTCATTTCTGTTATTTGGTACCATTCTTTGTGATTCTGTAGTGCTAGTCCACAAGTTTTGATGAAGTGTGATCTTTGTCAAGATTTATCAACTTCACTCACTCAAAGACATTTTAATCATTGATCAAAGACATGAGATGTAAAATGCTGACAGTCGAGATATTTCTAAAAGGGTTTGGTCCCATGCATAATATCCATATGAAAGTTTAAATATGATGAGGCTATTTAAGATCATGATTAGAGATTTCAGGTTGATGTTTTGGTTTTGTTGTGGTGTTGGGTGAAATTACTTCTGATGCAGTCTATTCTATGTTCAATTACTTTATCTCTTATACTAAATTTGTTATAATTTATCCATACACTGAGGTATATAAAATGTTTAGTATTTACTAATTCTACATCCTGAATTTTTATGATGGATTCGGGGTATATGCCATCCCTGCTTTCATTCCAATTTCAGTTATTAAATAAGTGCAAAGTCTCTATTCCTCCCCTCATCAATTGATTTGAGGTGTTATCATCCTTAGAATTTGAGGAGAATTTACAGGCAAAGCATTCAACATTATCAGCAGAGGATGGTAATGCTTTGCCTTGACTCATCTGGAGCCTCCTTGCCTAACTCCCCACTTAGAACTGAATCTATGTTGACTAATATGCAGATAACCCCTTCCAGGTTTTCTGCTATCATCTCTAACCTAGATCTCCACAAAGCATGTGGACCTGATGCTATCCTTGTAATAGTCATTAAGGTGTGTGCTCCCAAACTGGCTCCTGTTCTCTCAAAACTGTATAAAACTTTTTGCTGCCACATGCCTTCCTGCCTGCTGGACGTCATTATCTGTTGTTTCAGTTTTTAAGAACTCTAGTGATTCATCCAACCCTTCCAACTATCAGCCTATTAGCCTTCTGTCTCATTTTAGGAAACTCCTAGAGGCCCTAATCAATGCTGAATTAGTACAGCATCTCTAATTGCAGGGCCTTTTCTCAGAAAAGCAGTATGGCTTTGATTTCTCCAGATCAACTGCTGATATACTGATGATAATTGTGGAAAAAGTCTATCATGGTCTAGATAAAAATGGTGAAGCCTGGGATATAGCTTTGGACATCTCAAAAGCCTTGGACAGAGTTTGACATACAGGCCTTCTTCACAAGCTGGCAAGTTATGATGTCTCCAGATACATTTTTGAACTGATCCAGTTTTTCCTATCAAATTGTGAAATGAAAGTTATCCTGAATGGCCATTCATCTACATCCTTTCATACTAACACAGGTGTCCCCCAAGGCTCTATCCTCGGTCATACTCTGTTTTTAATTTTCATTAATGACCTTCCCAAGGATATCAGCTCTTAACTTGGCATCTATGGTGATTACACAACCATTTAATTCTGAATCGATAGTAAGGCTGACCAGTCTGACAAAAACAAATAGGTGGCTGGTGTCAAAAATGACCTCCAATCTATCAAATTTTTACAAACTTCTCTCCACATTCCATCAGCATGACTGATGCTGACCTTCAGGAAAGTGACTCATTGTGCCCTCTCTGGCTAATGTTCACAGCTGACATGAAGTCGAAAGACTATATTGAATCCATTGCTAGGTCAGCTGCTATGCAAGTTGGTTCACTGTGTCAGGTGAGACAATTTTTTTTCTCCAGAATCTATCTTACATATCTATAAGTCTACCATTCATCCATGCTTAGAATATTGCTGCCAATACGGTCTGGTGTCCCTGCTATTTACCTTGAACTCCTTCATAAAATCCAAAAAATAATCAGCAATATTATTGGTGCTGATCTGGCTGTTCAGCTCCAGTCATTTTCCCACCACTGTAAGGTTGCCTCTTTATGTCTCTAAATACTTTCATGGAAATTGTTCAGATGAACTCTTTGCTATGGTACCAAAACCTCATGAATTTAAGAGCAGTACTAGACTGGTGTCAAGATCTCATCAGTTGACAGTTGAGCTGGCTCGATGTAGCCATAAGTTCTATGCTAACAGTTTCTTTTCTCACACTTGTTGCTTGTGGAACTCCCTTCTAGCTCCAAGATTTCCAGTCAACTTTAATCTGCAAAAATTTAAGTGCAATGTTAATCGTTATCGACTGTCCACCTGATTACTCTTTCTTCTCATTATTTAATGTTTCTGTTCTTAATTGTTCCACACCCATTGTGTCTTAGTGGCTTTATTGCCTTGCATGGGGTGATACCAATTAAAAAGAAAAATCATAGTTTTGTTTTGGAAAGGTTTGAGTCCAGCTTCTTGGAACACTTGATAGAGGTTGCTGGTTTTCTGTTCATGATCATTCTTATCCCAACTATGAATGCCTAATATCATTGGCATAGCATCCCTGTACTCTTCTTCAGAGAAATTTCCATTTGGATTTTTGGGATGAGGAGATATCATTATTTACACTATTTGCATTGAGACTAATGTCTATATCTTTGTTACTATGAGCATATTTTTGAGTTTTCCATTTCAATATGCTTGTATTTTGATAGTTTTTTGAAGATCTTCAATGATAAATTACAATCTGCAGGAACTGCCATGTCATTAAGAAAACACATTTTGTTTTTTTGGTCTTTGATCACAATGTCTGGATTATTAGATTTATTTGAGCGCATTTTAAAATCCCATAAAATTGTTAAAGGTCCTATCATGATATTTTCCACTGAAAAAAAAAGCCTAAGATCACACACATTTTACAAAGATAAATCTCTTCTTAATGTGTGAGCTGTACTTGTGGGTACAATTTTTTGTATTTCTTCAGGAATCCTTTCAATGAGTCTTATCAGAACCTTTTTCCAATCAATCCGAGGACTCCAACTACAACTGGAATTATTGATGTCCTCATGTACCACATTTTTTAAATTTCCATTTAAAGATCCTTGTATTTTGATAGTTTTTTGAATATCTTCAAAGATACATTACAATCTGCAGAGACTGTCATGTCAATAAGAAAGCACATTTTGTTCTTGTGGACTTTCATCCCAATTATTCTTATTAATCTCATTATTATTATCATTTATGTAAATTGAAGAAAAGTCAAATACTGCCATTTATTACTTGGATGTATTCATTGTATTAGACTTGTTATTTATTCATTATTATTATTATTATTATTATTGTTGTTGTTGTTTTTGTTTTTGTTGTTGTTGCTGCTGAAAGTTTTTGGCTTGGCCGAGGAAAGAAAATTTTCAAGATATTCAGACTTATCTGAAAAATCTTTGCTTAAGAATTTTGGAAACTTTTCTTGGAGCCAACCCCAAAGAGGCAGATACATTTTATTTTGTTTATTTCTTGAAACTGTCATTTTTATCCAATGGAATGGTTTCTGAGAAGTGAATAGGAATGAATTAGTGAAGAAGGTGCTCTAAGTCGACAACTGTTGTTAATCTGGTTTCCTTAATGTGAAGAAATTTGCACATGAGTGGCTTACTTGAGGCATGGGAAATATACATATGTATATATGCATGTGAGCAAACACACAGACAGACACACCCACAGAAATGCACACACATGCATGCATGCAGAGTACAGATGAGATATTTGTGTGGCTTCTACAAGTAACAGTTGTCAGTGTTCAAAATTTACACAGAAACGAGAATGTCAAATGCTGATTTTTAAGGCAGTCAGATTCTCTTTATTTAGAAGTTTGGTGTTACACACTCTTTCCGCATCCTATTTCCTCAGAAGAGACTTAAGTTAAGCTTAATAAATATCTACACCATGCACACACAAATTTGGAAATAAGCTGGTTTCATAAAAAATCATAAAAACATGTGTAGGTATCTGTTTTTTGCACTCTGTCTGTCTGTCCGTCTCTCTCTTTCTCTCTAGCATTGGTAATATTAGACATTTCCCTATAAGGAAATATTTAGCATTCATTGACCAAACAGCCAATAATACTTTTAGTTGAAATTTATAAAAATCTTTCTCTTAAAACAATTTTTTAAGAAAACAGTTATCACTCTTTCTAGTATTGATGGGGGTTTCCTTCCTAACCTTTTGTTTGAATTAGTGCAGAATGTCAACATCTTGATTATATTATGATTTCCTCTTTGAGTTACATATGCTATCCATTTTAGTTGTTGCCACTTTTGGTAGTCCTCAAGTGATGTGGCTTCTGTTCTTTGGTACAGTTTTTTTGTGATTCTGTAGTGCCAGTTCACAAGGTTTAAAGAAGGATGAGCTTTGCCAGGACCTTCAGGCTTTACTCGATCAAAGACTTTTTTCATCATTGATCTGACAGTTTAATCTGACGAGGCTAGGGTTGATGTTTTGCTTTTGTAGCAATTTTTTGTGTTGAACAAAACTACTCCTGACACAGTCTATTCAATGTTCAGTTTCTTTTTCTCCTATACTAAATTTGCTATAGCTGATTGATATGCTGAGGTATCTGAAGTGTTTAGCATTTATTCGTTCCTCATCTTGAAATGTTGATGGATTCAGGGTCAGTGCCATCACTGTTTTCATTCCAATTCCAGATCATAATTTCTGTTTTGGAAAGGTTTATCTTGATTCCTATTTCTTGGAACACTTGGTAAAAGACGTTGATTTTCTGTTCAAGATCATTCTTATCCCAACTATGAATA